TGATTTTACAAACTACATGCTCTTCTGACTGAATTTTGGATTTCTGGGAGCCAACCATTCACGTTAACGAAGGATGATGTTAAAAAAATTTTAATAATTATTTATATAATATATTAAATTTTAATCTAAAATTTATATTTAAAAAATTTAAAATTTAAAGCATTATAATGTTATAATTTTTACATTTCTTATGCATCATAGATGCATAAAGATCCTTAAAAGTGTGCTCTCTCTCTCTTCTCTAGAATTCTCCAGCATCTGTTTTAAACTTCTTCAGTTCTCATCCGCTTTTTGGGTGCTCGGAAGCCTCCAAATTTTTAGAGCTTTTGATGCTTGAGTAGTCGAAGGGCTTCTCTTCAGTTGCTCAAGTATGGTGGAGCCAACCCACCATGCTCCTATGTTCGGTGACCATTTTAGATGGTTTGTCAGTTCTTTTGCGGCCTTGTTGGTAGCCTTTGCTTTCTTTTGTTTCTGTTTGTTTTCTTGTTTTGGTTTTCTTAGATTTGGTGGCCAACAAGCCAATCATGAAGAATTTAGGGGATGGCCGTCGCTTACTCTAATGTTCCAACCATGGCATCCTAGAGAATCGACGTAATTTATGCGAGAGTAAATAAAAGGGTATTTAGATCTCTAGAATGATCAATCAAAGGAATTTGTTAATCTATTTCCTTACTGGTTATTCGTGTGAAATGCTCACTACCCTCCTTTCTCTATTTTATGTTGAACTTGATCTACTTTCCATTTTTTCTTTCTAGTTGTGCTTAATTTGTTTGTAATTTTATCTATGTCTTTTGAATTTCTTTATAGATGCCATATGACTTGGTGGAATGAATCGAATGATATGTTTTTTACTGAGTTAAAAAAAAAAAAAATTCATAAAGATCCTTAAAATAACATTCTACAAAGAAAACCCAATGAAAAGCTTCATTAACAACTAAAGTCCACACACAATGTTCAATTGGAATTGGGCTTTTCTACTTAAAAAAATAAAAAATAAAAAAGGAATTGGGCTTTACTAGTACTGGATCGGATCAGCTTACCCATTACCCATACCCGTTTCCGCAAAGGAACTAAACTTGAGCGAAGGGAAAGGCAGACCCTCTTAACAATCAGTATCGGTGGGATTCAGAGATCCACTCTGCTCTTCTTCTTCTCTCCATCTTGAGTTGAATCGATCAAAACCCATCACCGGAAAATGAATGTAAGTGATGCGGGAGCATAGAGTTCTTTTTAATGATTAGTTTTAGGGTGGTTTGTTTTGCATAAAGTTTGAGGTTTTTTTGGAGTCTTAAGTTTTAATTTTAGGAAAGTGATAGCATGGACTAGAGTTCGTAGCTTATTAGAAGAATTAGGATTCTTGGCTATTGTTAGTATATGTAGTTATTCTTCTTAGATTTCAAGAGCAGTTTTTGTTAAGAGATTTTAGTTTGAGAATAAACTTGAGGTTGAAAACCTAAGTTTTCTTGGTTCCATCTTTAATTTTACGGAGTTCTTGGTTTCTGTTTGTTGAAGAAATTTCAATCCTTTTTATATGTTTTTTATCTAATTCGAGAAATTCTCCTATTGGGTCCTGAATCTTTTTCTTTTTTCTTTTGTGGAAGTATATGGATTCAAAGATGCAGCAGCATGGCCTACTTGGGTCAGAATCTGATTCTCAAAGAACCCTGTAAGCACTCTCACTCCGTTTTCCTGTTTTGATGTAGATATGTGTGTAGGATAACTAGGGTTCGTTTCTGTTGTTGGGCATTGTCTTTCGAAGTTTTGGATTTTGAATTTTTTTTGTGAGTTTTTGAAAATTTGGATAGGTACCCATATGTCACTGGGACATCAGTGGTGGCTTTGAAGTACAAAGATGGGATACTGATGGCTGCTGATATGGGAGGTCAGCTCTTGCACTCCTATTAGTCTTTCTCTGGTTCTATACTATTTGTTTTTGCTTTGGCTGTTCCAGTATGCAATTGGAACTTGGAAGAATAGAAATTTGGGTCTTTTATGATCATTGTTCATTTCAAAGATTGAATCTTACACTCTTTAGTTTGGTTGTAATGTTGTTTAGATTATCAATTATTTATGTTCATTCATTCGCTTGATACAACTTGTTTTGACCTTACTGATAATAAACTAGTGTAGTTAGTGACCCTGAGTTTTGTGAATATGCCACTGTAGCTGCAAAATTGATTCACATTGATGCTTAGAAGGGTTGTTATGAAAACTTTTGTGTGAATATGCCACTGTAGTTCCAGAATTACTTCACATTGATGCTTAAAAGTGTTGTTATGAAAACTTTTCTTGCTCCAATCAGTTTCCCTTAAGCTATTTTAAGCTGGTTTGCATTGCCTTTTTATTTTTGACCAAAGAGCTAGTTTTCATTCCTTCATCTGTTTTAAACTTTTACTTGGAGATTTGGTGCTGAATTGTCATTGTGGCCTAAATCATGAGTTGTGGTTTAATGTTGGAAGAGAAGATGTGCTTATATGCTATACATTTCTAATGTGTTCACTGAGTGAAAAGAAGTTGAGAATGGTGGCTTGTAGAAAAACAATATCTCTGTATCTGTCAGTGTTGTCTATCTAATTTATGCTTTATCACATTAAATTAGACGTTTATTCTTAAATGTCTTTATAAGAACAAATATCCTTTTGCTAATACTGATCCTTCCCATTATTTGCATGCTTTCTGCCATTAGTTCTTTTTCTGGACCTTTTTTTTTTTTTTCTTGATGTCAAGACTGACGTGTTTCTTTATGCCTGTGTCACAGGCTCCTATGGTTCCACTCTACGATACAAGACTGTTGAGAGGATGAAGGCCATTGGCAAGCATTCCCTTTTGGGTGCTAGTGGAGAAATAAGTGATTTTCAGGAAATTTTACGTTATCTTGATGAGCTTATGTAAGCAACTGTTGAATTTAAAACAGCAATCAATTTCTTGTATGCCTACTTGGTTCTTCTTCTTTTTCCTTTTTTTTATCATTCTGTATTAGGGGTCTAGTGACTTTATATCCTTGCCTTTTCATTTAAAACTTCTCATATAATTCTTGAATTTTGGGTGCTCAACATTGCAGCTTGTATGACAATATGTGGGATGATGGCAACTCCTTAGGGCCTAAAGAGGTGCACAACTACTTGACACGGGTGATGTACAACAGACGTAACAAGTTCAATCCACTGTGGAACTCCCTTGTACTTGGTGGGGTCAAAAATGGACAGAAGTATCTTGGAATGGTATATTTTATCTTTCTCCTGATGTTCAGCAATGAGTAAGGCTTTGTTTTAAGGATCTATCTTACCTGTCTTCTTGTGGTTGTCCAGGTGAGTATGATTGGGGTAAATTTTGAGGACAATCATGTTGCAACTGGCTTTGGAAATCACCTTGCACGACCAATTCTTCGAGATGAGTGGCATGAGAACCTGAGTTTTGAAGATGGTGTTAAACTATTGGAGAAGTGCATGCGCGTGCTTCTCTATCGCGATAGGTCAGCTGTCAATAAGCTTCAGGTTCGTACAGTTTCCCTTCAGTTTTGTAATTTCTTTTCAACTCATATTCTTAATTAAAATTTCAATCCATACTATTAGATATGCAATTCATTTCATTGCTCAGGCCTATGCCAGCAGTATCCTCCTCATTTTTTTTCTTAACCTGTTAAACCCCTTTTGACTTAAAACTGTTGGGTGCAAAGATCTCATTGCCTTTGTATTCATATTTTATAATGCTCCAAATCTAAATGCTTGCAGATTGCAAAGATTACAGAAGAAGGTGTGACAATTTCACCACCATATTCATTGAAGACCTTCTGGGGGTTCTCAGCATTCCACAATCCAACAGTTGGTGCTGAAGGATCTTGGTAGCTATCTTACCTAGCAAGAAATTGGGTGGAATTTCCTTGCGAAATACTCGCATGGTGTTGAAAGGAATCCGTCAACCAATCAAGAGTCTAGGACTCGGATTAAAAAAAATTCTCTGCATTGTTGTTTTAGATGGTGGATTGAAACCTTTGATACATCTTTATGTTTTGTGAACTATTAAGTCTGAGGTTGATTTATTATCTTGGTTTATGGCAGAACTCTGGTTTCCAATTTATCTTTCTTATTTGAATGCATGTGCCGCAATTAAACATCTGGTATACGCTGCATGACAGTAAACTAGTTTGAGAAATGAGAGAACTACAGAGCAACCATTTTAAGTTGACAAAACCTCACATTAAACTCCTGAATGGACCCTGTATTCTCAATTTTTGAATTTTGCCCTCCTTTTAATGGCAGAAATTGTATATATTGTGGGATTTAGGAGCTTATTTACCTTACAAAAGGTTTACGAGTTCAATTGAGAATATGAGCTTAGTTTTTGTAACCATATTAGATTTTGATTAATTTGAGATCAAATTACACTAGACTCTATTGGGAGAAACTTTTTTAGTGCTTGTTTCTTTCTTAATTAAGAAAAATCGAGTTTTTTTGCACTTGAACCAATAAATTATCGGTAAATATGAGCTCAGTTTATGAGCTTAACATAGGGTTTTGTGATTTTAAGTTGCAGATCTTTTTTTTTATTATTTTTTGGGTTTTGGGTATAATGATTGGGTAGCATTATGGGCCAGCTTCTGATTTTACTTCCAGGCTTTACTGCTAATAAAAAGGGAAAAAAAGTCGAGGTTTTATTAGTGGAAATCTAGAAATCTAGAAACTGAATCATGAAGATCGCTGGGTAATTTGTTTGATTTGATTATTGCCTCTTCAATGATTCCAAGCAAAACATACAGTGAATGTCACTTTCTCTGCATTCTTTGTGGGGTATCCAATGGATTATGGCCATGAATTGTGTTTCCTCTTCTTTTTTTTCTTTTTTTTTTTTTTTGGGGGGGGTGGGTTTATTTCACTGTTCATCAATTGTTGTTGCGTTTGTAAAAGTTCAAACCTAATAATAGAGTGAAAAGTAACATTATTATTTGTCTAGCTTTTGTGTTACAATTAAAAATATGGTGTCTGTAATCAATTTACATGCAATAAATTAATTTTACTTATTTACTGTCGAGATGGTAGATGTTGCATAAGTAGCTTCTCGTGGCTTCATTATGACCTTCAAGATTGAATGATAAAATCAGAAGTAAGCTCACCTACCGACCATTTCACCCATTACAACTCAAGTAAGTTGCAGAAAATGCCAAAGTGTAACACTCATCTTCAACATGGCCAGTTCTGTTGCTCCATCAAGGTCAAAGGAGGGGGGGCCACGATTTAAAGCCATAGGGCTTGTTTTCTTCAGTATTGGTAGATAGAATTATTAATGTTGGCAGTTACCTTATGTGTCAACATAGCATAATCAAAGATCTTCCCAATGGGAGTGGCCATAATACTTCCCATTTAATTGTTTCTCCCGAATATATTGCAAAATTACTTTAATTATCTCACATTAGTAGAGATATGTGAGTAACTTTAAGATATAAATGTAAAAATTAATTATTATTAACAATTTAAATTTGAATTTTTAAAAACTATTAACTTTACTCAAAGAGTTATTAAGTTAGTAACGATTTTTAATTTAAATTATTTTAAATTAATTAATAAAATTTTTTAAAAATAAATTAATCATATAACTTTTTTCAATTTTTAAGATGAATATATAATCGTTGTAAATAAAAATAAAAATAAAAACAGAATTAGGATTATTCCTAGGATGGAAAACAACTATCTGCCTTTTTATGCCTTCTCTAAAAAAACAAATTATTAGCCTTGTTAATTTAACTCAATTGCATTTCAAAAAAATCCAAGGCCTGAAAAGGATTTAATTAAATATATGATGCTGTCTGACATGCTCTTTTTTTTTTTTTTTTTTGAAAATAGGTAATGGGCTGTCTGACATACTTGATCATGCAAGTTGATGTTATTGACCTGACAAGAACTTGGAATTTTTTTTAGGTAAAAAAGGAATGCTCATTCGCACAGGGCTGAAATTTCAACACAAACAGGTAATATTTCTTGTCCAAATCCTAAATAAAATAACTCCGTCCCGATTCCTGAGAAAGATTTATATATTTCTACCTTATCTAACAAGGCCTAGTACTATGTTACACCTTAATTCAAACTTGAAGATTCCCCATGTACCCATTTAGGAAATAATATTTGTATAGTTTTTTTGTTTTAATTTTTTTTTTTGTACAACTTAATGTATTATTGATTGATTTTTTTAATTATATAAAACTCATAATATTAAATATATTTATTAATTTAATAATATATAAAAATTATATAAAATAATAAAATAATTATCCTAATAACACCACTTTACTTATTTTATTCTTAATTAACCTTGTGGGACCTGTCCTAATTCTTGGACAAAGGATATTTCAAATGATTGCTACTCCAGTTCACCAAAAAAATACTTCTATTAGCCAACTACCTTGTGGGGCCTAACGGCCACAAGTTCTTGAGAGAGGTGTGAGGACCATCATAAGCAGGGTTTAAATGTTGGCATTTGGGCATTGGCTACTCTTTTTCGTCCATGGTTATGGTTACTTAAGGGATTATTAGGGCATTATTTAATATTTTCTCTCTCTACTCTAGATCTGTCTCACATCTGCCTTAAAACTTCTCCAATACTCATCCATTTTTTGGGTGTTTGGAAGCCTCCGAGCTTCTAGGGCTTTTAATGCTTGAGTAACCAGAGGGCTTCTCAAGCATGGTGGAGCCGATCAACTATGCTCCTATGATTGGTGATCACTTTAGATGGTTTGTTGATTTTTTTT